CAGCCTTCGAGACAGCAAAGTATGTGCTTGGTAATAATCCATGTCTGATTGCTGCAAAAAATCCGCAGTTAGAGATAAAAACTAGTTTAAGTAATAGCAACAGTCAAATGTATTAAACGGCTACCGATATCACAAATACCTATAGTTAATGAAACTAGCTGAAGCTAAAACTTTCTTTGTATTTGGTTTCTGTGAGAGGCAAAGACATACGCACAGTATCACAAGCAGTAACAACTGCCAACAGCAGCCACTCGCTTGCAAGTTTGTCGATGGCTTACGCTTTCGAGGGTGCTCATAAGCAGGCTGTTGGCGGACTTGGTTGTTGGCATATACCAAAACTAATTTACCATACAATCAAATGAACAAATCGTAAAAACAGTGATTCGATCCCCTTACGAAAAAACAGCTTGCTAACGAAATAAAGCACGACAAATTAGTGCTAGCAAATGAATAGCTATAGATACTGTAAAAATTACCAGTTTACAAGATGTTTGTTCTGGAGTTTTGGAGGTATCTCTAGTTACGCATCAAGCTGAGTCTTAGAAACTGCGAAGTACTTCCATGAATATTTTTCAGTCATTAAACCCAACATATTTTCATTCTTTTTCCGGAAATTCAATCCTGGCTACCTATGCGAATTCTTGAGTTCCTTTATTTACCGTCCCTTTTCGCTTGCTTCGCTTTTTTCAACATAAATCGCTTTTCGAATAAGCCATATACCTGACTGTACAAGGCGAAGTAATCATAGACGAAATTTTTGATCGTCCATACGGCATATCCGGAAACAAAACACTCAGGTGCTTGCATTACTACCTAAACCAGTTTCAGTACTTTGAATGAAAATTAAAATATTTCAGAAAAACTTTCATCGTGTAATATTTCTTAATTTGGTTCAACATCGTGGCCGGCAATTAATTTAGTTCAACATCATGGGCATCAAGACCGGTAATTAAATGCAATGTTGTGATAAAGTAGCGTGTCCAGAATTATCAATTTGTAAATTTGTTTTGCATACAAAAGGCATGTGCTAATGGTAGAAAGTTTAGTGAATAAATAGCATAATATTTACAAAATACAGAAGTGATAACATGCAAAAAAGACGTGTACACAAAGAGAAATACAGTCTAAATGAGCTGAAGTGTACTCAGCTTAGGATGAATCGAAACATCTTAGTCTCTGCTAAACTATTATTTCTTAGGACGCTTTATGAATCTGAATGGTTTATGAATCTGAATCTGAATGGCTTTATGAATCTTTCGTTATCAGCTGACAGTAACTCCTTAAATAGAGTTTATAATTTTGCTTAAAACTGATGAATAATTTGGCTTATAATATCAAATAAATATTTTTAACAGTACATTCCAAGCAACGCATTAGTAATAATGAACATGTAAGGAACAGATATTACCAGGATTTGCGCGGACTGCACACAATTATTTTAATAACCGCGTATCTGAATTTTGGTTCATCCCACTACGAATTTGATAATGCACAGCGTTTATTCTTGTATGATATCCCCCTAATCGAATACGTAAATACCTGGCCTCTGCAGGGAACACTCCTCCCTCCGCCGATCCCTACGCGACGGAGCCATACCGCCCAGTTGTCAGTCACAGTTATTTTTTCGAACAAGGCAAAACCCCGGGAGAATCGTTTTTTTTTTTCAGAGAACAAAATAAAGCTACTGAAATTACCTCGATAAATGCAGAATCTGGTTCAAGTTCGAATGGATGCGATAGTGGTGGTGTTTTACTTGCAGTCACTCGTGCTGGTAAATCGCTCTGGTACTGCGGATAAATCGGATGCCATGTGTAATCGAACGTTAGCGTCAGATGCTTGGTGTGCAAGAAATCAAGCCAACCCTAATAAAAGCATGTGCATTATTTTTCTGCATGCAAAAATATGTCATTCTTTAGCAAGTATCACAAGCAGTGTTTTGGTTGATGAAAAAAAAAATTGATGCTCAGCATGAAAATTGATAAGTTAGCAATCTCAAGCGTCATACATAAAATTGCGCTTAAGCGACAAAACTCAGTACCACAATTTCGGAAGTTCGAACCCGAGCCCAAAACTGAGAGAATATTGCGCGGCCGAGCCGAGCTTTAGAAGTTCTCCTATTCTTATGTAATTTACTTACGCATTATGGATTCAGAAGCGATGATGCAGTTGTGCTGTCAACATGTCGTGCCTGTATTTTAGCTTTACAGAAGGCAAAAGAAAGTACATTTTTCTCGAATCGCCTGTGCGACGACAAGAGGTGATAGGCTACGTGTGCAGAAAATATTGAATGAGGCAGTGCTGGCCACTTATTCTGAAGCACGTTTTGTTCAAAGACAATATTACTCTGTTTCGGAATTTCACAAAAATCGTCCAAAAAACATGCTTCGGGACGTGTTATTGTTACCAGTGGTAAAAACTTACTACTTCGGTTCCGGTGGGATGCGACGCATGGACGGATGGCCCAGTGGAAGCGTAAAACGTGTTTTCATAAAGGGAATGAATCACGGGCGAAAGTGTGCTTCGCTGTGGCACGTGAAATTTGATAGCTACAGTTTCACCGGCCTTCACTTCATACTTGCTATGACCAATTTGCGGGCAAAAATCGGTATAATCGAGATCGAATCGAACGGTTAAATGCTTGGCAACTAGTGCCATCAAAAAATTGTTCAGCGGATTACTGAAATTATAGCAAAAATGATACTGATTAGCTTGTAATATGAAAAAGCATGTTTTTCTTAAAAGCATATATAAGTGCAGCTGTTAGAAAATAAAGAATTTAGTAGCGCAGAAGTGAAGGAAATGAGCAAAAAAATATCCAATCTCGCCGGTTCCCATCCTTATCCTACTGTTCTTTGTTTGGCACGTACAGCATACAGATCGTTCACCTCGAGCCTCATAAATAGTGCAATATTTATTATATTGTTGTGTGTATATTGACTGGGAGATGTTTTTGTTATCGGCAGAAATGAAAATTCTTTTGTTGGTTCTGCAGCGAAAACAGTATTGCTATTGGTCTACATGCTCCGTATTCTGCTTTGGCTTCTTTTGGAACAAAGCTTTTTTTTTCGATTTCGCTTTCGCACAAGAACGACCCCGGAGCAGACGTCACACAGCATTTTAACAGACTTACTTGCTAAAAAATTCAGTTTTTAAACAAAAATATGGCTAGTTTTTCAGTGAGCAGTCCATCACGATAGTGATTTCATATCATTTGGCTTCAAAAAAAAGTAATGAAATGTTAGTAGACGTAAATAAGCGCAGAAACTGCCTACCTTGCATCCACCCAATTTTTATCATTAGCGACAACGACCACTTCCATATCGTTAAAAACAATACGACATTCCCAGATCTGGGGCACAAAATGCGTGAAATCTTCGGTGTTGTATTCGGCCATTTCCCGGAAAAAATCCTGAAATGTAACTGGTATAGTCTTTCCAGGAAATTACAAACCAGGTAGCATAGCTGCACTCAACATGCAACAGCACCTCAGTAACATCGCGATAACCTAAGATCTCCACACCGATTGACCAGGTAATCTTACCGTTCTGGGTGTAATGCACATCTTTATTGCACAAATTCAGGTGCTTTCATTTGTGTTTCAAAGCGATCAAATTCGAATTGCAAAGTTACTTGCTCTAAAAGCTACTTGACTGGTTGGAATTTATGCTTTTGCGGTCGCATGCTGGTCAGCTAAAAGGCGAAATTGAGTAACGGGGTAAGGTAACTAAGTGCTTTTTTCCTGCCACCGTTTTTTCTATAATAATTGATGCCTGGATCAGTTTATTGCATATCTTCAGGGTTTATCGGTGGTTTGGTTGGATTCATCACGCTTAAACTTGCAATAAACAAAGCGTGTGCATCATCGGACACCCTGAAGTGGCGTAAGTCTTGCCAAATGTTTCTGCCATAAAAAACCACTGGGATGGTATTCTCTTCAGGAGATAAAGTGAACACTGAAAAGAGCAGAAGATTGACTGCCAGGCGATGCAGCATTGGTCGTACCATTCGGAAAAGTTTCAAGCTGCATAGCATAAGGGCCTAAACTTGTTTTACAGCTGTTCCAAGTAATATTCAAAGGATATTCCTCCACGAATTTACTGGAAAAAATTTTTGTATTGCGCTTCTTAAAAATATTGGAAATCTACAAAATTGCGTTTTAAGAAATTTTTCTCCTTACGTCAACAATGCTAATATTCTGTAATTTTTTTATTTCAAATAGAAAATATTGAAAATAATGTTACGCCATGTTAACAAGAAGAAAAATATTGATTTTTGGAGGAAATGACTAGAGGTACGTGTGCGCGTCTTTACAGAAATCATAAAAAAGGTGTCAGAATG